AAACAAAATGCCCTCCAGCCAAACCCAAAACTTAAATAAAAACTCAGCAATGTTGACAGAAAAACTTTTAATGACTCATTTGTTTTTTGGGGTAATTAATGCTAGCTGCCATAAAACAACCCTCAAATCTCAATAACTTAGTAATGTGTTTATTTCTGGATCACATCACAGTTTAGATATTTAATGTATGTATTGCATATTTAAAGTATTGCATTATGATTGAGGAATACTGGCCTCATCTACCTCTGGCACTGCCGTCTTCCAACCTACAGGTTTCTATATAGGTTTCTTTGCTTTTAGCTGGCAATAAGAACAAAAGAAGTGAGGAGACGTACTTGCCTAATCCTGGAAGAGGTATATAATACTCCCACTCTCATTCTTTGATGGTCTAGGAACATGGCCCTACCTTGATGGTAAAGAAGGCTTAGAAAGGTAGTCTAGTCTTTTTGTTTGTTTGTTTTAGTCATGCATGACAGTAAAATGTATTTTGACCTATCATACATACATGGAGCATAACTTCCCATTTTGTACATGATGTGGAGTTACAATGGTCATGTATTTATAATGAACATAGGAAATTTATGTCCAATTCATTCTACTGTCTTTCTTATACCCATCCCAAAGTAGTCTAATGTGCCAGGAGGAGGAAGCAGAACTAATGACCTGTATCCAATTGTTGCCATAGTGTGTGAAATTTGAAGTATATACTAAATGAAAAATCAAAGGCTTGCACAAATTGAACTTATGTCTCATTGTTGCACCAATAATAATGTAATTATCAAAAACATTTACTTCATAGAAGCTAAAAAATAAATCTTCATATACAAATTTTACTGACAGTTTTGGGTAATTCTTATTAATCATAAAAAAAATTTTCAATAAAGTTTTCACCAAATTATTACATTTAGCAGCAGATTTTAGTGATATATTTTTCCTCAAAGTAAATTTTTTTTTCATAAATTCTCTACAACCGAATTTTACATCTCAGGCAAATTCATGTAACAAAGGGCTCAGTGGGATTCTTAGGATTTTTACATGATAATACTTTGTACACAGATATCAATCACCTTTAAATAGTTTTTCTTTTTTACCTTTTTCTTAGTTTCACCTAGGAAAACAGACAAAACAGTATTTCTTTTATCTTTTGGCTTCACTGAAAGGACAAAGACTAAGCCATGACACAGGTTAATTTTTTTCCCTTCGCCCTTTTTACTCACCTTCCCTTCACACTCCTATACTGAGTAAAATATTCTTCCTGTTTCTATTTTCCTGTTTTGCCTTTATGGATATTTTTTCTTCCAGTTTCTAGCATACTCTTTTACATCTTTCTCTTAAGCTACATCTCTGCTTCTGGTACTATTGTGACCTGACAATCAGTTATGCTTACCCAATAATTCAGAGTATATAAAAAAATCAGAATTATCATTAGTGTTAGTAAGAAGACCCACACATTCCACCATGACAGGAAGGTAATACCGCTATGTTGAACACAGGAGTAGTTTCTGAACACATCCAATTGTGTCATGTTATGTCATATTAACCAGTGACAGAAAATATTACTAAAATTCCATTAATTTGAAATGATTTTGAGTTTATTATAGTTTTTTGTTTTCTAACTGATGTATTCAAATTTCTTCCACTTCCTAGATTCAGTTGTTTGGGGCCTGAGGGTAACATTCTCTTCTTTTCAAATGCTTGACATAGTCTTTTCTTCAACTGGATAGCATTGAAACAGTTATCTTGCATTTCTTTTTCTTTTAAATATAACCACCACCTTCACAGAAAAACAGAATATAAAGTTGATTTCCATCAGCTTGATGAGAAATCCATTTATCAATAGTCTTCCTTAAGTTGTCTTCATTTTGTCACAATAAACCATCAACAATTCCAAAGAATTGTGCAATTAAAACATCTTTTAAAAAACGGTTGTTATGGATACTGCTAAGAACTCTACATTGTGAGATGTTGCATTATTAAGAGATTATACATCCAATAATTTTCAACCCTTAGCCCTAATAAGACCCTATTGGTGGAAAATATTATAAAATTTACATTTAGTCTGAGTCACACAATTTTGAATAATATCATCACTTCACAACTTCTAATGGATTAATTTTGGATTAAGTTTTTGTAAGAATGTCTGTATAAAATTTATAAAGTTTTCTGATACCAAGAAAAAAATAAACTCGATGATCCCTTCTCTTATTGAAAACAATGTAACCATTTTGGGAATTGTCCTACACTAACTGAATATGTACTAAATGCAAAACTTTATTTATCTTACCTATAAGATCATAGAAAATAATATGCACATGCTCACTCTATTTATTTATATAACATATACAAATAATTATGGACAGGCATATGTTGGAATGTTAATTAACCATTAAATGATTTTACAGATTGATACTTGATAATGTGGGAAACATATACCATATGCTGTGAAATGAATAGCAACCAGGCTCAAATTAATGTGTAAAACATATAATTTTTTTGTAAAAATATGATTAATAAAATATTTTGGAAAGATATACATGATTTATTTATGATATTTATTTCTACATAATCATAAGTAATTTTTGATGGTTTTCCATACTCTCATGATTTGTTTTAAGCATGTCACATATTTGTACATAAAAGGAAATGATAAATATAGTTAGGAAATGAAAACTATAGTTAGCAAATAATATAGTTGGAAAATGATGAACATAGTTAGAAAAAACTATCTAACCTTAGAAATGGAATGATTGTAAATAGAATACTTTAAAGAGCCACAGATCTATTCATTGTTTACTCAGAAAATTTACTAAATATTTAACTGTTTCAGACTTTTGGAAAGCACTGGCGATGCATTTCCTATCTTTAAGAGACATTTTAATGTATGGTCAAATAGGGAAATGCAAAGAAGGAGAAGATTATTTTGGTTGATAGCAAGACATCAGGTCCTCATAATACCTTGAGGGTCACAATTCAAATAAATTTTTTTTAAAAAAAACCCTCATCTTTCTGTAAATGACATCAAAGAAACATCTGAAAAAAAATCACGGTGAAGGGGAAATACTCAGTTTGAGAATTTTAAAAATAATTTGACTAATGGAAAACTCACTTTTACATATCCTAGATAAGCCACTTGAGGAGGAAAAGATACTTGGAAATGTTATTATCTCAAAATTTGTTGTTAATAAGAACAGTTACATTTTATAGATACTGAATTTTCCCTTGTCTACTGTATTCTATTGGTATGATAGCAGAATACTAATTTGAATTGTTTAAGCTTTAAAAAGAATTTGTTTTCACAGAAGAGGAGATATTTTGTGTATCATCTCATCCCTTATTATCCCAATTTATTTCATTATCCAGTGGATGGGGCTTATTTGCTTAAAATTATAATTTTAAAAATATCTCCTATGGCGAAGTCTTTTAAACAATGCAGTTTGACATGAATAAAGCAATTCAAATTGTGACATGACTTAAAAGGGTTATGAGCCCATCCACCTGAGATTGTAATTTACCCAAAGTCGGGGCCATGGTTTACATTGTTTTGAAGTTAGTAATTTATTAAAATGGATGTCATTTATTTAATGATTTGGAAAAGTATAATTTAATTTTATCTTGGATAGGCTTTTTTTTTGTATCTTGTTGCCTTGTCCAGCGATATGTTCTGAATTTATTCTTTTGATTTAGATGCATAATTAGTTCATTTTCCAGTTGCAAATGGATTGTCTTTTGGCTTTTCTACCTAAATAAATACTTTGACAAAATTTCTTTCCAAGTATGTGAGGTTCAATACAACTTTCTAAGTGTTGACATGCAAGGAAGTTATCTACTTCTATAATTGGACTTTTTTTTTTCTCTCTCTCACTCTGTTTTTTCTTCTTTAAGGTTTACAATGAACCAGCCAATCATGGTGCTTTAATAGGATCTTCATAAAGATTTTAGTTCTTGGAAGAGATGGTGAGATATAACGGCAGATAGGGAAAAAAAAAAGACTTGTGAAATTATATCATAAGCCTTGTATGTTTAACAGGCTTTTTTCCCAATAAGAAAATTATTATAAAGTATAAACTGGCACATGTGATAGCCGTTAGTAAAACAAACATTTGAAGGTAGCCCAGACCTGGTATAAGGAAACATTTATGAATAACTGGGTGTTAAGAATGTGTGGTTACATAATAGAGCCACAAATGAGAGAGTCACAGACCTCAATTCTTAACATCCTTGGGATTTATCTACAGTGTTCAATCAGGGCTACTATTTTCAGGTTGCTCAAAATAATTCTACTTTAAGTCTTCCTGACCTTCATCCAAGTCTCAAACATCTGGCTAAGGATCAAGGTACAAAAAATATCTGATAAAACATTTTGCTTTCAAAGTGACAGCAAGCAAATGTTCTGAGCAAGCATTCTTTTCAGCATTACAGAATGATATATTCTATATCATCCGTTTTAGGTGATGCCTGCTATGTGTGTGAATGTGAGTGTGTGTTATAAGCTACATGATAGGTACAGTCAGGCTGTAATGCTTGGTGTGGAAATAGGACTAGACTCCTTATTTAAGAACAAGGAGAAAAAGTATCCTTTGAGTTTCTATGAAGGTCTCCCTGCAGAGTTAAACAATATTGCTAATTTATCAGGTTCTAAACTTCATGTGTTAGGGATTTATTCCTCAGAGCTTAAATTTTATCTTTTATCCTAGAGATGAGTTTCCTTTACTTTCCCATTTTAGGGCTGACCTTTTGTGTCAGTGACCACCAGGGCTGAACTGTGTGTACCTAAAGCCAGGCCCTTAATTTACAACTGGGGGCTGCTATCTGAAAAGCCCATGAAAGACTCTTGAATCAGGTGAAAGCCTTTTTCTTAAGAGCTTTTCTGCTTATTGTATCCATATATTATAATTTATCTTTTGTGGTAATTTCCCAGAAGTTTTTACCAAATTGTTTATTCAACTAATCCTTGAGGAATTTCTTTTTCAATTGCCAAATAGATGACAAGGTATTGAAGTGCTAAAAGAGTACTGTGTTCCATGTAAGAGGGAAAAATAGATCTCATTTTAGGCACATAGACATCTGAATGATAGAGGTAATTTAAAACTATCTTTGAAGTTAATGTCTGTCAATAACAACAGACAGGACTCTGCCATCACATTGGGACTATCATAGTAAAAGTTTGGGGGATGATTTAAAAAATGGGTATTAGTAAACATTTAAATACATCTGACATCAAGGAATTTCTTGTCTACAGGATTACTTCACTGTAATTAAAACTACATCTGAGAGTGAGAAGCAATTTTAAGCCTATTTAAGTACATAAATGTACTCTGGAAAACCAGAAAACAGTTCAAGGTGACTGATAGGTCACTCTCAAAGATACTGCTGAACCATGGACTTGCGTGGGATAAAATACCTGGAAGTTTCATGATCATGATACTCTACCTTCCTCACTCATTTGCCCCTGTTCAGTTATAGAATGCTTTGGTTGAGCTCCTAACTTATTTCTCATCTACTTTTTGTTTGTAATGTTGACCATTCTGTTACTCCTTGAAGATTCATGGAAACTCACTGGCTTCCGAGCAAAATAGAATGTTACTTTAAAAGGTAGGGCCTACAGCATACACTTCTGTCCTTGGCACTGTGCTAGATTATGTAGAATCTTGTAAAACTGGGTTAGTCTGTAATAGTCAAAAACTGTGTTAAGAAGAGAGATAAAGCAGCAAAAACTGACCTCAGTTAAAGAGCCTAAAATAAGATATTCATAAAACTCTGTTTCTAACAAATTGATGGGCATTGGTGACTTCCTCGTCTGAGTATAATTCTGTAGAGGTTATACAAGTGCTGGTAGGGTTGATTCTGAGGCACAAAGATTAAAAACACTCAGGACTTTTAGGAAGAGATAAGCTGGTTGGTCTTCATGTATGGAAAGAGTGGGGAATGAGGACAGCAGAAGGTTGGCAAGAGCTTTTATACTGTGACTCTTGCTTTGCTTTACGTTTTCCTGCATAGATTGTTTCCAATGGTAAAGAGAAAAAACAGTGCCAGCCCAGCACTGATGACAAATGGAGGGAAAAACAGTAGAATGTGACTCCAACATAGCGGGGCTAGAGGGTGGACAACAACAGGTTCCAAGAGAGCTTGGCTGACTCCTGAGAATTTTCTCCTCCTTATAACCCCTATCAAGCTAGAGAGAAGTGAAAGAGTCCCTCCCCTAAAAAAAGGAGTGGCTTACTTTTGGGAGATGTATACCGAGAATGGTTCAGCACAGTTTGTAAAGTTAGAAAATCTCAAACTTGAGGTATATCCCTAAATCTCATACCAGAAAAAGGACAAGTGTCAGGAATTCAGCATAAATATAAACAACAAAAAAACTTATATATGAGCAAGAATAATCAAAGATTATTGAAAAGATGAGATGGGGGGTCGGGGATGTAGCTCAGTGAGTGGTAGAGTGCTTGCCTAGTATGTATGGATGTGTGAGACCCTCAGTTCAATCACAAAAATGAATAAATAAATGAACCTAGGGAGAATTTTAGATAAAATGCACAGAAGAAATTATAAAGTAAAAAACTTAAAGAACTCAATAAATGGACTAAAATAAGAGATTGAATATAGTTGGGCAATAAATTAATTAGTTTGAGGATTAGACATAAGAATTCCAGGAAAAAGTTGCCAGCAAAAGATAAACAAAAAGAGGAGAGAAAAACAAAAAAAAAAATTGGTCAAGATGGAGGATAGATGTACAAGTGCTAACCTTCCTAATGAAAGTTTAATTGAAAGGAGGAGATATTTGAAGAAACAATGGCCTAGAATTTCTGAATTTCTGAGAATTAAAGAAAGATAAACATTGAAAAGTTTCATGATGCCAAATCCTATAGACAATATGAAAAATAAAAATAGAAAGATATTAGAGGAAAACACCTTAAGATATCAAAGACAGGACATTCTTAAAGCTGTTCAATAAAGTACATTATTTACAAAAAAAAAGATATGGCTTAATAACATACTTTTCCATTTTAGTGTTACATACAAATTTGGGGAGTAATATTTTAAGGAGCTGGAATAAAATAATTTTAAGTCTAGGATACTATGTTCAACTAATAATAATTTAAGTGGCAAGGAAACATATTCTCAGAAAAATAAGAACTTAGAAGTTTCATCAAGAAAATGGTTCCTTTGAAAATGCTCTTCCAAAAGTTTAAAAGTGATGTGTTAAATAAACTTAGGAAGAACTATGATATATATGGAATGTAGAAATGAGGAAATAAATTAGTAAACTCTCTTGTTGAAATAAAACTAAAAGCCATTTTAAACATTGTAAAAGACCCTGAAAGCTCAGAGTTAGAAATGTAGAAAATATTCACATAGAGGCAACAGAGGTGAAAGAAGTGAGAGACTTTATGTATATTGATAAACCTAAGAAATGAGTAAAATAGAAAGATTAATGCAGATATTTATTGTTTTCCTGCTAACCAAAAGAATAAGATACAGTGTTTTATACAAAGAGAAGATACTTGGTATGTCAAATGGAAGGTCTGAAAGGTAATCAAAATAAGGACAACATATGTAATAGAAAAATCAGTTGAGTAGGGGGAAAAAATGAGTGATGGTAACAATTGTAATAAATATAAATGTGTTAAACTCACTGACCAAAGACAGAGACCTTCAGAGTGGATTAGAGAAAACATCCAACAAAATGGAAAATACAAAAGAAACACTTTAAATAAAAGATTATAAAATTGAGAATAAAGATGAGACTTCTAAAAATAAGTAATGTTAGATTAAATTACTACATCTAATTTTTTTGTTTATCCTTCCATTTAACTTATAAAAAAGTTACACATATCTTATTCTAGATATTATATTATTCTCTTTAGAAATCTGATTTTTAATAGTCTTATTTTTCATATTTTAAATCTCTTGTTTATATATTTAGATGAATATAAACATATAATTACATATTCCACATCTAAAGTCTTACTGTTATTTGTTATTATTGGACTTTACCTACTGATTTCTTCAGGGTATTGTTTTATACATTTGACTGTAAATTCATGTTCCTTGGATTTTTATCTGTATAAATTCTTGGGAGACTGGATAGAAGATATGTTTCATCAAGGAAAATTTGCCTCAGCTTATCTGAGATCCCTGAAGGCACTATTAATATGGGACCCCTTTTAATGGATTATTAGAATTAAGTTTGTTGGCCTACCAAACTAGTGTGGATTCAGGTTATACATCAGCATGGGAGTGTTATTTGTTTATGAACACTCAGGGAGATATATTTCTAACCCTAGCACAAAAATCATAGCAAATAATTTTTTCATTGTCTTGTACTATGGGGTCTATTTCTGGTACACTTGATATTAATTTTTTTAAGATACCAACCTTATGCAGGAATATCCTTTGGATTTATCACCTTTGGTAGGCCTTAGGCTTTGTCTTCTCTGCCTTCAGTTCTGTAAGGAAGGGAGTTGATAAAAGAAACTAAGATTCAACAACATAAAGTGTATATATTAAGGTCAAAATGGATTCAGTATTATCTCAACTCTCTAGATAATGATTTGAATTAATTTTTTGACTTTGAAAAGTTATTTCTCTCTCTTCTTTCCTTCCTTCCTTCCTTCCTTTTCTTTCTTTCTTTCTTTCTTTCTTTCTTTCTTTCTTTCTTTCTTTCTTTTTCCTTTTCTTTTTTTCTTTGTGTGTGTGTGTATGGTGCTAGGTATCAAACCCAAGGCTTCAAGCATTCCGAGCAAGTGTACTACCACTGAACCGCAACTTCAGTCCCTTCTTTTTCTATTGAAGGAATAAGGATATGGGTAAAATACTTGAAATATTTCTTTAACATTTTCCTTGTTTGTATTTTCAATTAATTTGAAGTACTCTTTTTTTCAGGGATGTAAGTCAATTCCTCTATTCTGAAGTCAGCACAGCAGTAGTACATGTAAGTTTCTCTCAGTGTGAAGTAAAGGCCGATGTTGGTTGGCATGCCATTCATTTATTCATCTATTTAAGAGAGGTTATGGGGGTTGGTCCATGCATATTAAACATGTACTGACAAATAGTTCTATCATGAGGAGGCTGCATAATTCAGTCTAGTCCTTTAAAATTTTATAAAGCTTATATTAATTAAACAATAACACATTGATCATGAACATCAATGAGGAGATTCAACAGGAGATTAGATACAAATGTCAGTTAATACTCTTGCTTTGTGAACAAGTAGCTGTAGAGTTTACCACACACTCTATTCATTATTTTTTCAGTGAAGGCCTTATAATAGAAAATGCCAATGAATAGCAACAACCACATTATTGGAGTCTATTGTCTACTCAGCTATAAAGAAAATGGAGTACAGTTGTTATGGTATCAAGAGCATATTCAGGGACAAGTTGAAAGAAATATCACTAAGTTTTCATATATGACTTTAAAAACAGTATTTTAGTTATTCCTTTATGTAAAGAAGCTCTAATCATTTGCCCTAAGTATACAGGGAGAAATACTTTCTACCTTTTCCCTTCTGCTCAGGCCCTTTTATTCTGAAGGGAAGAATCATACCTCTGGAATCTATCACTGTGAATGGTTATGTTGAGATATATAAATGCTGCTTTAACTGAAGTAAAGTTCAGCTTACATGGAAATAAGTCTGAACCTGTATGTAAATGAGAAAACGTTTTATTTTTTTTTCAAAAATTAGTTGAGATTTTAGGTTAAGGGAGAGTCATATGATCATATCCCATAAGGTGATGGCAACTTACACAATAATACCCATGAAAAAGTTCTAGAATTCCTCATAGATAGAATAGGGTCAATCAAAAGAATTTATAGTATTTTTATATCTGAAAATATTTCCCCTTTTCCAGTATTTCCTAGTATTGTTGTTATGAAGGATCATTTTTATTATGAATACACATAATATTCTAGTTATTAAAAGTATTTTACTTCTAAAATTACTTTTAAGAAGTAATTGGTGATTCATCTTTAAATAATTAAATACATATAATACGAAATCAGGTCAGCAAGAAATTATCATTATACTTTAGGGTAGCTATAAGTTTAGACCAAAGCTAATATTTTAATTTTTATTCATTCATTTACTTCATCATTTATTTATTTTTTGTTCATTCTCCTATTCCCTAATTAATTATTCAATAGTTTTCATGGGGGCTGGGGATATAGCTCAGTTGGTAGAGTGCTTGCCTCAAATGCACAAGGCCATGAGTTCAATCCCTATCACCACACACAAAAAAAATATTTTTCATATATGAGAAGCTATACTGGGCTTATATATTTTTATTATTGTTAAATGCAAAGTTCACAAAAGCTTTCTGACATATTAAAATAACTCAAAGGCTACCTAATAAAAACTTTGTAGATTGTGATTTTTCAGGAGCCTAATTTTTATATCAAAAATTTCAGACCTAGAGAGTTTAAATGATTTGCCCTAGGTTGTACAGAGAAATAAACACAACAACTTACATTTATTATATAAACATAATTTATTATCATAAATGACAGATCATATTTATTATGACAATAAATATAAAATGTTAGGTGTTGTTAGTGTTATAATATTGGTATAATATTGTATTATACTGTATAATAATGTTGTATTATTTACTTTTTGGTGGCTACATATGAAATGAATTATAAATATATTAATAATACTTATTAAAAATTAAAGATGACTTACTTTTAAGTCCTCTTAGGACATTATACTTGGCTAAATAACGGTTACAGAATTATTTGTATTATACCTTTCTTTTTCACTGGTGTATATACTTTTTATTATACTTTATACTTGTATATGCATTAAAAATATAATTTTGCTAGTTTCACTCCCCAATATTTTCTCCCATCCTGATTCCCTTCTTCCACTCTCAGGGTTCCCCTCTAATTTCAATTGTACCAATCAGCAACATTTTTTTTTTAAACTCTAATCAGGGAAACTGATATTTTGAGGTCTCAGTCAATTGTAATTGCTTATTAATGGTCTTTGACTGAGTAGTTCAACTGAAAACTATGATCAGGTAAGTTTGTCATCAAGCATGTCAGCATAACCCAAGACAGTGTGAAGAAACTGCTGGAGCAGCAATGCACTTTATTAATGACAGTGGTCAGGACAACCACTACATGGGTGAGAATGCTGAACAGGAAAAAACAAACAAACAAACAAAAAAACATAGCAAACTGGGTATTTCCTAGTGATCATCTGTTTAAGAATCAACCTGAATCAAATCTGCTTAAAATTTAAAATAAGAGGAAATTAACCTCATTCCATCTCTTTACATATTACAAAACGTTTTAAGATCCTACACTTTTAGTAGCAGCTGAATATATCTTCATCATTTATTCATTCTAGGATGTACTTATAAATATGAAATATATTTCAGTTTGTTTAATTTTAAAGCTACTATTTGTTTTAAAATTTTATAAAGTACTGAACAGGTGATAATCTGTTTATGTTAAGGAGGCTTATTGTTGAAGTAAAGTATATTATATTAAAGATCATTGGTAAACAGGAAAACTAAATATAAAATTTGTTGGGTGCATTTGATTTAAAGATTTATTTTTCAAGTTTTCGAACTTACTCAAACTAAAAAGTTTTTTCTCAGTGAGAGAAACAATAAGAGAAGTAAATAGGGAGCCTACATCCTGGGAACAAATTTTTACTCCTCACACTTCAGATAGAGCCCTAATATCCAGAGCATACAAAGAACTCAAAAAAATTAAACAATAAGAAAACAAATAACCCAATTAACAAATGGGCCAAGGACCTGAACAGACACTTCTCAGAG